GTTTGTCTGTATGTCTGTCTGTCTGTCTGTCTGTCTGTTTATCTATCTGTCTGTCTGTCTGTCTGTCTGTCGTAATGTCACTTGTTAGTCAATATATCTAAACATTTATTTGAAGACCCGACAAGTTGCAAAAACAAAAACTAATTATGGATTAATTTATTTTTCCTCTTGGTCACCAATAAATTGCATCTGTCTGTCTGTTTTTCTGTCTGTTTGCCTTTACACTTCCTTTCCCTAACTTTCCATTACATTTGTCAGAAAAATAACACAGTTGTGTGCTGAAGGTATGGCCTCAGACTCCCTTAAAAATATTTTCAGTCTTGTGTATAGTGTATATACCGAAGTACACTGTAATAACTATGATAGCCATGCCTTTATTTTTATATATATATATAGTATATCCAAGCTCCACGGCATGCTCAATGCATTTTACAACTGTTACTACCTCAGCAGATCCTAGAACATTCAGAAACATTCTCGGATGTTTCGGGAAGCTTACAGTGCAAGTTGAGGATTGCACGCACTCAAACATTAAAAAACTGAGGTGTGAGTACCATTGAAAAGACAGAATGTAAATGATCTCATTTCACTAGGACAATTAAATCCCCCAAAAAACCCAAAAAAACTAACGCATTTCACCAGCACCCAAAATAGAGCGAGTCAGACATTGTGAACAAACAAAAAATATTATGTTTCCGCAGAAAGTGACTAACAAGATTTCCATCGAAATTGGCCTCCAGTTTAGATCTCTCATAAGTGAGCAAATAAATTTAACTAACTTAGCTCGTCGAAGACTATTTTTTTAGTTTTCTGTTCTAACTGAAACGGTTGGGAGGGGTATTATTTTGAGGAAATAAAAGGATGAAAAACCCTAGAGGTAATCTAATAAATAGAAATGACATTTGTAATAATCAACAAGTTTAATCAGTTTGAAGATCGAAAAGAGAAAAGGTATAGCAAAAGTAGCAGTTCATTTTCCAATTAGTTGCCCTTATGATTCACACTTTTGTACGCCGGTTTTTCAAACAGTATTTTTCTTTTAATTTTTCACGGTGTGAGTGGGAGTCAGGGGCGTGGTACTAATTTTTTTTTTTTTAGTCAAAGATAGATTTTTCCAGCATTTTGTCATCCCCCCTTTCAACCCATTCTAATTGTTCTTTCTCTTTTCATGTCACACCGCCTTTCCTCTTTTTCCTCTCTCCCCTTTTCACTATAGTTTTCCTCCTCTCTCTCTCTCTCTTTGTCTCTCTCTCTCTCTGTCTGTCTGTCTCTCTCTCTCTCTCTCTTTCTCTCTCTCTCTCTCTCTCTC